AAGACTGGGCCTGATTTTGTCATTGACATATATAAGCCACGCCTTGTGGCCACCAAGTGTATCCACGGAATAGATCGAGGCCTTCCAGCTAGTTGAGTGCCCCGCACACACTTTCGAATCCATCACACTCGAGATACGTTTCCGATGTTATTCTGTTTTAAGAGGCAATAAACGCGATGGCGCACTTTGGCTAAGCTAAATCCAATAGGAGAAGCATATTTTCAGCAAAAATCACACACAATTGAGTCGAGCTCATAAATTCGCCTCTATCAATCATACGCACTGTTGGCTGCTCAAGATGCTGAAGCAGAAAACTATCTATTTTTCCATTCAAAAACCCGAATAAGAAGAATGTATTTAATAAAAACAAAGCGAAAAATCACAAACTGCATTTTTGCATGCACAACTCGAATAATTAAAATAAACGTTTTCAGAGACAACAAACCGCTGGGAAAACACTCGATTAAAAGACATCATCAATAAATTGCTTTTGTATTATAAACAATTCCATTTTCTGCCCCACACCCCTCGTTAATATTCACACAAAAATGAATTGAAAACATATAGGGTGCGTGTGTATATGGTAAATGCAATATTTGTATATTTCAGCATGGTCTTATGGGTTAAAAGCTCGGGGCCTGTGGAGTTTAATGGTTTACACATATTGGTACGAAAGTGCTTTGGAGAGCTCTTTACGGCTCGCCGGCGCTCGGCTTTTTATGGGTCTGGGCAATTGTGTGCAGGCCAAAAGGCGTTGACGACCGCTCTGGACCCGGCCAGTTGGGTAATTCTTTTTGTTTTTGACAACTTTGAAGCTTCAAAGTTGGTTGGACACTGTGGAAGCACACATGGCCTAACTGGAAATGCTTTTAAAAATTATTCAATTCGAAATTTTTTAAGTAGGTTTGCTTGCAAATTACGGAGAGCTTTGCTTAAGTAACCAAATGTTTATCTGTAGGTTTTCTTATCCCCACATTTAGAAATTATTTCAATTAATGTTATCTAAAACAATAAAACTGCGTAGAATCGGGAGAAACAGCTGCAAAAATGTGCCAGAAAAAACAATTAGTTTATTTTTTCTTATTCCTTATTTAAATAATATTTTTTTCTGATAAGCTGCAAAAATTCTGCTGTGCAGATAAGAAACAAAAATAATAAGCTAGGCCAAATTAAAAATATTTAAAAAAATAACGCTGTTTATATTGGTTTTATTTATTTATTTGAAATATTGAAATAATATTTAATAATTAAATAATAATTAAATTTAACCCACGAGTTAAGCCAACACAAAAAACGTATTCCCTATATGGGATAGGTCAAGTCTGGATAAGAATTTACATCAGCTACAAAATAAGAATGATCTATTAGTTTTGTAAATGACTTTCTTTACCGAAATGCTAAAACATGCATAAATTTACAACTTTTTATCTTATATTTTTCAAAAATATTCTAGCCATAAGAAAGTTATTCGACCCATTGTAACACTCTTCATCCCGGAATCGTAAAAAAAGTGTTTACATTTCATTCATAAAATATCAATTACGGACATGTGTGACAGCTAAGCGAGTGTGTTCGGGTGTATGGGTTTTGTAAGTCAAATCGATATCATGCGAATACGTGAGGACATCAGAGTTCATTGCTGGAGCTTCGTCCTCGGCTGGGTGACATTTAGGGGCAATATGGTGCACAACACGCTCCCTGATGGAAATTTAACGAGTTGCGCGACAACAGCTCTTGTAATGCATGGCAGCACCGCATAATCAGCTGCCAGTTCTGCAGAATAAAAAGGCGTGAGATGACGAGAGACCGGCATCGAACTGCTAATAAACAGCTCGTTGGTAAGCCGGGCGAAAACAATTGATTTTAATGGGATTAAGTTATATTAATGAATATTCATTGTAATTTTAATATTAATTTTATATTATTATATTAATTATATTAATTTTATATAATTTAAAAATAAATTAAATAAATAAATTCTTACATAAACTGTGTACACTAATTTTTAAAATCATTACTTTACCTTAAATCATAAAAAGTATCCAATTATTTAAGTACTTTCAAATATTAGGGTCAATTAAAACAATTTATACATTCAACGCTTGTCTCTTAAAATTGTCTAGCGGCGTTGCCTTAATAACATCTCTTCAATTTCGCCTTAATTTAATGCAATATCCTTAAGCGAATAGAAAACCAAAATCAAGACCACGCCCATTCGCTTTAGCCCTGCGGCTTCTCCATTTAAGTAAATGCAGCCCACAGCATTCGCATAACCAAGCAGCTCGGATGGCTAGCCCACCCGCTTTGACACCCGGCCACCTAGCCACCCACTGAGCCACCCTGTTTAACATCCGATGGCCGCACCTGCTGTCTTGCAGTTTGCTGGGTGCACTTTGCTGCCTACTTTGGGGCGCCACTCAATTATTTATGTGCCCCTGCAGTGCTGCCTCTGCCGCTGCCTTCTTCCCATATGAGGGGCGAACTTTTTCGCCATCCACATCCCCATCCTCATCTGCACACCACGCCGGCAACATGGAATGTCTTTAATGTTAATGACTCGAGTGCTGCAGAACTTTTGCAAACGCTTAAGGCGGCTTTGCGGCAAGACGACGATGCCGGCAACTTTCCCATTGTGCGGCTGGGAAATCTCAAATCTCTGGTGACAAGTTTCCGCTGCACACAACTTTTTATAATAGCATGCAGGCACTCATTAAAAACGCATTAACTATGCAATGTAAATCATTATTGTGCCATAAGTAGCACTCAACCCGTTCGTACCTCTGCCTCTGACTCTTCCCCGGGGCATCGGTATCATCTGGCAGCAGTTATGTCATCCGATAATTGTGTACATGTGCAGGGCGTCGGATATAAATGTTCAGCCATGTCAGAGGGGCCAACCCATGAGTTATTCTGCCGACTGACCCGCAGGTCGAAGGACTCAGACGGACCACAGATGCTGGATAAAAATCGTTATTTGAATAAAAAATAATTCCAAATAAATCCGAGTTCATTGGAATTTTTAAAGGAACAGCAGCAATAATATTATTCAGACTCTTCGGGACTTTAAGGCAAAGCATTCACAAAATATCCTGAGAAATGGGCGTCGAAACCAGCAATTTTTCACAATTTTTTTTGCCTATCTGCTTAACATGTTAATAACCCCACCTGGGGGGTAATGGCATCAGCATCCGCATCCGCAACCCTGGGCAATAAATATTTTATAAAGGCCAGACGACGTCAACAAGGACACGATGGGACACGGCACATCCTCCACAGGTAGCGTCGGGCGTCGTAAAAAAGGCAACTTTGTAGAAAAGATTGCGCTGATGTGCTGAAAATTCCTTCCTTCCGTCTTGTCAACAACAGCTGAATAGGCCACACACAATTGGCTGGCAGATGGCTAAGCGTCTGGCAAGGAACCAACAAAGTGGGGTTGTCCTTTTGACCCAAAAACACCCCCACCACATGGACCGCCGCCGCCGGGATTTTCCGTTTCTTTATTCATTAGCATTTTGGACGTGAATGGGGAATCCCCACATTAATATTAAATTCTGCCCAGCTTTTCGCACTTTTTAAGCTAATTTGTTAGAGTGCGGAATGTTTAACAAATTTAAATAGTAAACCCGGCAAATTAGTTTTCATACGGCCTGCAAACAAATCTGGCCCAACATCCATGGCCTAAAGACCATTTCCGTTGTTGGGCCAATTTAACATGCATTCCATTTGCTGTTAGCCATTAGTTGTCGGTGTTGAGCCGGGCTTTAGGATTTTATTTAAACATATTTCGGGCATTTAATGAAATTTATGGCCCAATGTAAATGAAAATCTGTGCTAAAATGTTTTTAATTGCCTCCTCTAGGAATAAATCGATAGGAAAGTGATTTAATTTATGTGCGTTTAAGCCAATTTGAACTAATTTAGCCTCATTAGATTGGGGCTATTTTGAAAGAGGAAATTTGTAAATGGTGTAAATGTTTCCCAACAGCTGAGATCTTTATTCCGCTTCCAGTAATTCAATTAAAATATCCAATAATTTTCAGGAATAACATTAATGGCATTAACAATGGCTGCACTGACATAAAATATGTATTGCAAAATTGTGTAATTGGTTAGAATTTAATAATAACCGCAAACACAAGCAACGACACCCCGGCGGCCCGTAAAAAATTACCTATCACCGCTTAGAGCCCGAAAAAAGGGACCCCATTAACCATAACGCCGAGGCAATAAAAATAACAAGCCGCATCAAATTTTAAAGTAACGTTCAGCCAGGGAAAAAACAAACAAATATAATTGCGCCAAGGGCAGCGGCTGTCCAAGGCGTTGACTTTTTATAGTCCCGGAATTTTATTGTTTGTACTTTTTGGGTGAAAGTGGGCGAGACAATTTACTTGGGTCAAAGAAGTTGTCGCCTGGGAAATTGTGTGACTGAAAATGTGGGGGTACCTATAACCATATAGGTAATGTGATACAGCTATGCTTTAATTGCATTTACTTTTGCTATTGTGGTTTAAAAAATGTTCTTAGATATTTCCCATTAAGATGTGGCTTAGACTAGTTGTTTTTATTCTTTTATACTGGAATTCTGAGGGTTCCGATAGTAAAGTTCAAGTCAATAGTGGAGTGCTTGTAAATGGTGAAGTTCAGTTGCCTCGTTTACTGTCAGCTATTCGAGTTATAACGCGCTCATTGTTCCCCTGCTTATTCGAGTTAGGATGCGAGCAGAAACAGTTATATCAGGATAGTCGAGCTGGAATAACCCATAAAAGAAGGTTCCTTGAGTTGCCTTCAAAACACAAAAACAAGGAATTATGATTAAAAATTTTGTACTATATTTATATAATAAACAAGATGCAAAATACTCTCCACTTCTTTTAAATGGTTGTTCAGGGAAACCAAACAAACTCGAACATGTAAATACATAGTTATCCTAGCAACCCAAGAACTTGTTGACTGGCATTCGAAACTCATCATAGTTTAACTATCAAACAGGAACAAAAATGAATATTACATCAGCAGTTTGGTGAGTTTTCTGATAATATAACCAGCGGACAATCACTTCATCCAACGATCTCCAGTTGGTGCAACATCTGGGACAAGAACACAATTGTGAATGTGGGTCCCGATGTCCTGTGCCTGCGCAATGGCAATGCCATCAAGTTTGTTCACATGCAGACGAAGGCGGTGCATTTCTTTAAGCCGGAGACGGTGGCCACGGGACTGAACATCAGTGCTTTTGCCGGGCACAATCGTTTTCCGCTCTTCGCCTTCGCTGAGGTCGTCCTGCGGCCCAATATCTATATATATCGCTATCCGGATATGGCCAAGTTCAGTTCCATTCCACGTGAGTTGTTTGGCTATGTCTTCTTATGGGTATTGCTATATATCTTTTTCTTTAGCCCACTTGATAAGCTACACCGACATCCGCTTCTCGGAACTCGACCTTCTGGTCGCCGTGGGCGGCTATCCTGACTACTGCCTGTGCGTCTACAACTACCGCACTGGATCCCTGGTCCTGGAACAACCCACCGGTGTGCCCACCGTGGCAAGAGGCATTGTTATCAGCTTCTCCATTCTGCCCAGCATCATTCAGTGGAACAAACAGGAGATGAGCCTCGTCTGCTACGACATCTGCACCGTCGAGAAGGAGTACTTCCTGTACAAGGTGGCCGAAGTGGAGCTGGGCAAGGATTTTCTCAAGTCCTGGGAGCGTTGCCTGACCTTCGGCGAGGACACCATCCTGTACTGCACCAATGACTTTGGTCACCTTCTCACGGTGGACGTGGCCTGCTTCTACCTGAAGCCCCAGTGGGAACCTGTTTACGACGCGGATCTCGAGGGGGAGAGGATGCCCCGCGCCCACGGCCTCATCTACCATCGATCCGGGTTTGTCATCTGGAATAGCTCGACTGCTTATTACCTAAAGAAGAAGGGAGGTGTTTATAAGGTAGGTTTTATATCCTCTGGGAAAGGGGAAAATTATTTTTGTTAATTCCAATTGATATGACTGTCTTTTAACAGCCGATTTCTCAATGTCTGTTTAACGTTATATTTTTTTTAGAAGTCAGGAGAACATCAAGTTAAATTGTTCGAAAAGACGAATTCGTTTTCTCAATTTAAAGTTAATTTTAAAAGCTACAAATCTTTAAGGAATCTTCTATCACACGATTTACTGGCTAATACGTTTTGAAAAACTTTTGTCAGAAAAAGTTAACATCCAGTTAAAATGTTGGCAAAGACAAATTGATTTTCTCAATGTGATCTTAGTTTTACGGACAACACATCTTTAAAGAGTCAGCCTTAACACGATTAAGGGCCGTTTTCTCTTTAGCCTATTAAATTTAAAGGTAGCTTTAAACAAAGATTTTCCATACGATTTAAGGTTAACCCTACTAAAAATTTAACAAACGGACGAGAAAGCGGTACTCAGTCTGAAAACCTGAGAAACATGATATTAAGATATGACATTTTTTCAAAACAGCTTTTTAATTGATTAAAATCTTTTAATAATTAAAGTCTTAAACCTTATATCTCGTAACTTTCAGGTCGAGTGGGAGCTTGAGTCCCGCGTGCACGGGGTCAACCGCTTCCATAGCAACAGCAATGGCGAGATCTACGCGGAGCGGCGACCGGGTCACATTGACCAGGTGATTATAGATCGCAACGGGGCGGCTACGCTGGAGTGCGTGGTTCCGACGGGTCGTCCGGTGATCACGTTCCGGGTGCTCCAGGGCCTCAAGGACGAGTGCGTGTGTGTGCTGCACGACGAGGGGGTGGCCATGATGGATCTGGCCAAGGGTCACACGCTCTGCGAGGTGGCCGTTCCTGCGGCAAGCGCAATGTGCAACCATCGCAGTTTGGCTTTGGTGGCCGTGGGCACCATGGATGCCCGCCTCGTCTTAATCCAGTTCGAGCGGGCTAGTTTGCCCCATGTCCTGTGTGAATTGCAGCTGGAGACGGCGGGCGTGGTGGGTGTGGACTTCAACGACAGCTGGCTGGTGTTCCAGGACCAGGCCAAGTTGCTACATGTCGTTCAGGTGGACAACAGGCCGCACAAGCTGACGCACTACTTCGAGATGAGCCAGGTGGAGCTGGGCCAGGTGTTCGTCCACACCTTCCTGCTGGCCGATGGGCCGCGTCTGATGGTCTTCATCAACCGGGATCGCAGCATGAAGCGTCCCGGCTTTGCCACCGAACTGTGGCTCTTCCAGTGGGGCAAGGACAAGCGGCTGCATCGGCGCGAGTATGTCCTGCCCAAGGAGTACGGCTTCTTCTGCGTCCAGCCACCGGTGGGAAGGTGGGCGGTCATCGAGATCGTGGCCACTGAGTACAACACCCTGAACTTTGACCAGTTTGCGCTGAACGAACGCGACGAACTGCAGTGGATGGCCTCCACCCAGTCGGGGCACTTCAGCTTCATTCTGGGCGCCGGCATGACCAAGCATCTGGTCACCTGGAGCATGGGCGGCATCCTGGTGCACTTCAAGCAGCACAAGCGGGCCAAGAAGCCGTTCATGATCTGCCGTTTCCTCAATTTGGGCATGCAAACGGAGTACATACTGCGCGTGAAGGAGTGCTTTAATTCCAAGTGAGTACTTTTAGTTTATTATTGTTTATTTATTAAAATTAGTAGCACTACAAGTTAAACTTGTATATTAATGTGCTAGTCCCGTGAATTACAATACTTTTTGATCAGAGTAATTTAGAATATAATCCTAAAAACAGTTATTTTACAGACAGTTACATAGAAAATTCACAAAATATTTAAAAAGACTATATATAACAAACAAAAAAAAATGAACATACAAATTTTTATTGAAACATATAGTTTTTTTTGTTTACTTGTTGCATCACTGTTTCCGAATATCTCTACGACGTACTTATTTAACATAGATTGATTTAATTCGAATACCAAATCCTTAGATACCTGATCATCCTGCTGGCCAACAAGAGCATGCGGGTGATGCGACTGCCATCCTTAGCGGACTTTGTGAGGGAAAATGTCGCTTTGCCGCTGCCCGTGGAGGAGGGCATTCCTTGTTTCATAGAGGAGGTGATCCACAAGGTGGACCTCTTTGTGCCGCTGAGTCTGCGGCAGGAGGTCAAGGAGGAGTACACGCGGGCGGATCTGTTGAAGCGCGATAAGTTGTTGGCCCAGATAAAGGACTTTGCCGCCAAGGTGACGGCGCTGATCGATTATGATATCTCCAAGACGGGAAAAACACGCGGCATCTTCAAGAAGTTCTGCTTTCACTACCGCTGGCTGGATGCCCTCACCGAGGAGGCCCACAAGTTGTGCGCTTTGGAAAGGGAATCTCTGGAACGGGCAATTGCGGATCAGGCCAGGATTCGCGATTGGATAATGCGCCTGGTGACCCGCGATGCGGTGAGCATTAACTATAGGGTGCGCTCCATTTTCGCGGATGCCAATTTCGAGAGCTTCTCGGTGCGACGCAAAATCGAGATGACGGAGTTCGACAAGTATCGGTTCTATGACCTCGAGGACCATTTGCGCGTCTCCCTGGGTTCCTTCGAGGAGGAGGAGGCACCACCAGCTGCCGCTGCCGCTGCAGCTCATGCTCCTCCCCCAGCCATCGAAGATGAAGAATACGTCGACGATGAGGAAGTGAAGGAAGTGGCTGTCCAGGGACTCCGTGAACTCAAGCAGTTCGTGGTGGAGGGACCCAGTGTCTACGAGCACATCATGGCGCCTGTTTTCCAGCTGCAGGACAAGAATCTGGTGACCTCGAACCAGCTGTTCAACTACAACTGCAAGATCCGCTACTACCTCAACGACCCGCTCAAGCAGGAGTTCAACAAGCTCTTCCACGAGGCCCAGCAGCTCAAGCAGGACACCATCGACAGTGTGATGAGCACGAATGTGGTGCTGAACAAGATCTACGATAATATGAACATAATGCTGCGCCTGCTCAATATGGATCAGTTCGAGGTGCCCGAGCTCACGGTTCCTTCGCTGGCCCCCGACGAGGTGATCAAGCGGATCATGGAGGTGGATGACTCTGAGATCAAGGCAATCAATCGCCGCAAACCCAAGACCATCGATACGGGCGGCAAGAAGGGGCGTCTCCTCCTGTGGAGCACCGAGTTCTGGGCGCGGGCCCTGATCGTCATGATGGACGGGGTGCTGGAGAAGCTGTGGGAGGAGGAGATCAAGAAGGACATACCGGAGCCGGAGTTCGTGCAGAAGAAGCAGCCGCACGAGTACAATCTCGAGGAGCAGAAGATCTTCCGGGCCTACGAGGAGGCAGTGCGACTCCTTGAGCTCGATCGCCGCAAGTATCTGCGCATCCTGCACGAGAACGAGGAGAAGACGCTGGCCTTGAAGGCCGCCCAGATCCTGAAGCTCAACCAGCGCGTCGCCGAGCTGATGATCGTGAAGCTCAAGTACGACTTTGCCCTCAAGCAAGGTCAACTGCGACTGCTCACCCTCGAGCAGATCAACTTCGGCCGGGTGCAGTTGCAAAAGCGCTTTAGTATGTTTCGCAAGGATATCGACAAGTTGAACGACTATATGACGCGTTATGGCAATCTCCTGGATTTCTACGACAAGGCCTTTCTCGATGTGAAGACTCGACTGGAGGCTCAGCAGACCCGCGATCGAGCTGTGGAGCGTCAGTTCCGCGGGCAGTTCCTGCCGCTGGTGCCCCATGCCACCCATGAGATGACCAAGCTGTTCAAGAAGCGACCCAAGCTGCCCGGCAAGGTCTTCAACTCGGTGCTCATCTGTATGGAGGCCTCGAACAAGCTGAGCGGCAAGCCCAGCCACCGAACGCCCTTTCCGCTGCCCGACGACGTCCTCGAGTTCCTCAACTACCTGGCCGAATTCGACCAGCCCAAGCAGTGTCCGCCGCAGGTGGACGCCAAGTCCTGGGACACCTTCGTCAAGCTGCGGCGCCAGAAGACCGAGAGCGAGCTGCGACTGAAGGGCATTGGCTACCAGCTGCTCGACAGCCAGAACCTTCTGTCTCTCCTCAACAAGGACCTCGCGGCGCTCAAGGAGTCTAAGGTCCTGACGCAGCGCAATGCCGAGGAGAGCATCCAAACTTATGTAAGTACGAGTGCCTTTTATACCCGTTACTCGTAAAGTCTGTATGTCTGTATGAACGCTGAGATCTCGGAAACTACAAAAGCTAGAAGATTGGTATTAATCCCACATATTCTTGGGCTTCCTGCGCAGCGCAAGTTTGTTTCATCCGAGCGCCACGCCCACTAAAGCTTTAAATGAGTTATAAACAAGAAAGGAAGCTACCTTCGGCCAGCCGAAGCTTATATACCCTTGCAGATAAAGTAATACTCACTCGGTGCAGTTCCAGGGATTCCAGATTCAGTGTTCCTATTTTTGAATTTTGTTTTTAAGTAGTCAAGAATTAAAACGCCTACTTCCTACAAATTAACAAGAATTTTCTTATATATGTTTGAATATTCCTATGGGAGCCTTAAGGTATAGTGGTCCGATCCGGCTCGCTCCGACATATGTACTACCTGCAATAGAAAGAAGACTTTCGGGAAAGTTTCATCGCGATAGCTTTAAAACTGAGAGACTAGTTCGCATAGAAACGGACAGACGGACAGACGGACAGACGGACAGACGGACATGGCTAGATAGACTCGGATATTGGTGCTGATCAAGAATATATATACTTTATGTGGTCGGAAACGCCTCCTTCACTGCGTTGCAAACATCTGACTGAAATTATAATACCCTCTACAAGGGTATAAAAAGCCTGCCGCCCACATCGTTACAAATTTTGTAAAAGTGTAAATGCCATTTTATTTTGTTAATGAATACCTATCGAAATGTAGAAGGAAATTTTTAAATCGAACAATTAATTTAAAAGTTATGAGCAAAAATTAAATGGCCACTAGATGGCGCTGCCGAGTGCGTTTCTCCATCTCCCTCGGGTATCTGATAGTCGAAATAGTCGACTATAGCGTTTTCTCTTGTTATTTTTTGTAATAATAGCATACTCTTGGGCTTCTTCCCCTCTTGATATACTAAATATTTCATTTGCCAACTAATACAAATTATTTCTCCCTCTACAGTTGGAAAAGATGAGAAACATGACGATCCAGTTGACCCTCACCAAGGGCCAGGTGGAGGTTTCGGTGCTGGGTCAGTTCACCAATCTCTCCAACACAGTGCTAATGCACGTGGACGACATCAACGATGTGAATCGCCAGATACAGGATGCCGGAAACAAGAAGATCAAGGCCATGCAACGAGTGGCTGTCTTCAGGCGCCAGGTGATCTTCAAGGAGTGGGAGCACAAGCTGTACAAGGCCAATATAGCGTACTTGAAGTACATGCTGGACGCCATCGAGAAGTGCAAGGTGTCCATGGAGTTCCTCAATATCCTGCGCAACTGGGAGAAGGTCAAGACGGAGCGACAGAAGTACATTGCCGGCGCCATCGAACGCGTGATCGAGCAAAAGATAGCTGTCTTCAAGAGGAACATCGAACGTGTGTAAGTTATGCCTCTTCAGAATTTAATATTAAATATAAATTAAACATTTATCGCCACTAAGGAACATGACTATCGACACGGTCAAGGCCCAGACCTTGGAGGTGAAGCGCAGCAGTCACGCCATCGACTCCAAGATCGAGCGGATCAAGGTGGACGTCACTTTCCAGAACACTATGCGCGATACCATGATGGAGGACAAGCGGGATCGCGAGCAGCGCGAACGGTGAGATAACCTTTCCTACGGGAACAGAAATGTGCACACGAACAGTGTTAGAAATGGGGATTCGAATATTTTACCGAAATCTAAATCCAACTATAAAAAGATTACGTTCCAGATAGATCACTACACCAAAAAAAAATTTATATGAAACGTAGATCGATTTTACATTATTTAAGATCAATTTTAATTTTATATGTGGCTAGGTAAATTTGACCTGAAATTCACATGGCCATATCGATTTTATGGATTTGTGTACTGAATTTTTGCGATTTGTGGGCGTGTCCCACTTTTCTTATACAAATCGATAGGTTCTGACGAAACAAATGCATTTTAGGTAATATTATTATCCTTTTATCAAAACTGTGGATGCCACTGATTTTGCAGGCTAACTTATTCTCCCAGTATATGTTAAAATTTAGAGCTTACACAGAGAAAATTATCAAAAGTTTTAGGTGCAAAATAAGGGGTTCATAAAAATTTGTTTTGCTTTGCATTTTTAAAACTTTTCATTTTTATTTTTAAAACGTTTTTATATGAAAACGGCACCTAAAACGTTGTATAATTTTCTCTGTGTATCGACACAATAGTTCTATACCTAAAGATCTATTTAAAGTTCTATAAAATGTAACCCTAGTAATTATTAAATTTTATTAAATTTGTGCCTAATTATTTTCTCTGCACTGATACCATCCGCCTTTCCCACAGAATGTCGCAGATTAAGACCCACCGGCAGCTCATGGAGAATGTGCGCCGCCACTACGCCCATGTGCTGGAATTGCAGACGATACTGGAGCTGCTTCGTCTGCGAACCTACCCCACACTGGGCCCACCCCTGCCCCAATGTCATCCGCCGGTGCCGGAGCACATCCTCAGTTCGGTGCCCTAGGCGAAGTTCAACCCGAGGAAGGACCATTCGTGGGGCTAAGTTTTTGGCCACTTGGCGAAATTGCAATTAAATACTTTCATTGCTCCAAATGAAAATTTATTAGTGGTTCTGGGGATCTGGTCTGGGTCTTACGACTGCCACTGCCACTTAATTGGGTTTGTTTGTGTCTAGGAAAATTACCAAAACGAGGCACAAAATCATGCACTTTGAGCTCTATTTGCTGCTAAGCTCGCTGCTTCCAAGCAAGAGATTCATAGACTAACCGCTTTTGGGTCTGAAATTGGGCGGGGAAAACCCTTCAACGTCGCACTTTACATTTATTGTTTTAATGGATTTCACTTGAAATCAGGCGTCAAGTTAGAACCGAGATAGTTGAGTTGTTGGTCGACGTATTCTGGTATGACTCATGGAAAGATGCTCGAAAATCCAAATTTAAAATTAAAAGTGCCCTTTGAAATTGTTTTTCAACCATCAACAAAAGCATTAGCCTATTCTAATCATTATGTCATCCCTCCGTGAACTCCGTGCAGTAAACTAGCCCCTTATCTGTCTGCCTGTCAAAATCAGCGAACTGTACTTTTCATTCGCTCAGTGTGTCATTTATTCTAACTGAATTGCAAATCATTCACAAAAAGTCTAAGAAAAGATTAGTTTGCGCGAGGTTAAAAACTTTAACCTCTATTAGTATTCATATAAGTTTTACGCAGTTCTAAAAGTAATAACCCCATAAAGTTTATTCTATTGCCTCATAAAGATGAGTTCATCGTACTTAAGCTAACTAACACCTAAAAACTAGCCTAGACATATTTTGGTTTCTCTGATTAAGCTTGCCATTGAACTAGTCCAATAATGATTGTGCACAATTAATGGAATGTGGGTCGTCTTATCAAGGATTTCAAAAAAAGCCTCTTATCAAGCTGAAACCGTTGGCCACGTGCGCCTCATGATTACAAAGTATAATATAAATAAAATATTCTAAAAGGCTTAAACATTTTACAAAAAAATGAACAAAAGCATATTATTCGATAAGCATATTATTTCCGGGTGTGCGATAACAAGGCGTTTGAAACTGTTCAGTCTCGGAACTCCGAATCACCGAAGTGATAAGCACACATACATATGTATGCAAAAATATACCAAATATTTGATTAATAACAGTGAGAATTGCCAGTGTTTGTAATCATCCAAACAACGATCCCTTAGATGTAAAATTTTAAACATGAAATCCAAAAATATTCCAACGCCTAGTTAATAAGCTGTTCCTTATAGTGAGTGGCATCTGTAGAAACTGGGAATCTGAGCATTACACCCCAGCATGGGGCGGAAAAAAAGGCTTATCAGGGGTCAGTTCCGTAGTTTTAAACGCTCGGCCTTCCAAGTGGCTATAATCCGGGCTCGAATTTGGGCGGCTGCGACGCAAAACGAGGTGTCGTTATGAGTAGTTTGGCAGACGTTCAATCAGTTCTCAAGTCAACGTTCTCTAGTTCAGAGTCCCGCAGCAGTTACCAAGTTACACCAACTTAAAATGGCCAAGATTGCAGTGATCTTCGTTTTGTTCGCCCTGTTCGCCGTAAGTTGAAGTCTGAAATTGGAAAACGACTTCTAGGATCCTTTGTTCGGAAAGGCAATAATGCGGGTTTTTCCTTACAGGTTGTCATGTCTGCACGCATCGCACGTGAGGAGCCGGCTAAGCCTAATGAGCTGTTAGATGCAATTACATCTGGACTTAACAAACTCGTTGAAGATGTAAAATCAAACCTGACTCCGGAGAAAATTGAGGTAAGTCATAGAAAATTATATGTTCTTGTATTAAACTCTTGTAGAAGGTATTATAATGCTGGTCCGATTTTTGTAACAATGTATATAAGTTTGATCTCCATAGTTCAACGTGTTGATATATACATGTTTGTCAGCCTGATCGTCTACCTGTATGTTTTAGTTACATCCCCGTTTTCTATCATATATTTAGTTTTAACAAAATGTCGCGAACTGTTTACACCTATATATTTGATAGCTGATCTAACCAAATTCACTAACCTCTCTTTTATACGAAGTCAAAGAATTGTGAGCATCGGCTTGCCGAACATTTTTATTTTTCATTCAAAATATTTTCTAATTGCTTTTTTTTATGCAGGAAGCGAAGAAACAAATTGAAAAGGCTTTTTCTGACGCTCTTACGGCCGCACAAAGTTCAGCAGCTAAGCTCAACGCAGATTTCCAGAAAGTTACACCTTCTCCCTAGGAAGTTAATGGATGGCAATTTATTCACTTTACCAAATATGTCGCTAATAAACGTGTAAACTATAAAACAAGTTTTAAAATTTTTTTTTTGGGGATATACGGAAGGAAACTACAAATAAATATATAAATATTTGTATTTTTAAATTTTTGGATTTGTACAATCTTTTTAAAATGCATTTTATGTACCCTAAATAATAACAAGAAATAATGTAACTCTTTAACTCTACAGCTAAGTTCTTTCCCCTATTTTAATAAAAAAAATTTTAATCCGAACTTGCAATTAAAAGTGCCTTTGAAATTGTTTTTCAACCATCATCAAAGGCATTTACCTATTCTAATCATTATGTCATCCCTCTGTGAACTTCGCGCAGTGAATTAGCTTCTTATCTGTTTGGCTGTCGAAATCAGCGAACTATTCTTTTCATTCGCTCAGTGTGTGAATTATTCCAACTGAATTGCAAATCATTCACAAAAAGTCTAAGAAAAGATTTTATTGAGCGATCGAAATGTATACACCATATTAGTATCTATGTAATTTTTACAGGGGTCTGTAAAGTAATAACCCCATAAAGTGTATTCTTTTGCCTCTTAAAGATGAGTTCATTGCGCTCAAGCTGCTTTTCTGAGATCACTTTGACTGAAAACTAGAATTGCAACATGCCCTTACTTTTGAGTTCATTCGGAAGATATGATTAGCATTACCATTGAAAATTTTCCGTGTTATGAAGTGTATTAAGAACTAGTCTAATTACTGGAATGTGGGTCGTCTTATCAAGGATTTAAAAAAAACCCTCTTATCAAGCTGAAACTATTGGCCACGTGCGCCTCCCTGATGAATGCTGCCAAAACAAAAAAAAAACAAGAGAGAACGCTATAGTCGGGTTGTTGTCCCGACTATCTAATACCCGTCACTCAGCTAAAGGGAGTGCGAACGCTGTGTCGGGTTGGTGTCCCGACTAATAATCGTAACTCAGCTAAAGGGAGTGCGAGGGAGATAGATATATAATTTTTGATTGCGTATAACTTTTTAATGAATTGTCCGATTTGAAAATGTCTTCTACATTTCGATAGGTATAAATATACACAACAAAATTGCATTTATACTTCTCGGAAATCTTTAAAGATGTGATCGCAGGACCCATTTTAAAATCGTTAGTGGGCGATTGTGGGCGTTAGAGGGGCGTGGCGCTCGGCTAAAATAAACTTGCGCTGCGTAGGAAGCCAAAGAATATGTGTGGGAAATCTCAACCTTCTAGCTTTTGTAGTTTCTGAGATCTCAGCGTTCATACAGACGGACAGACAGACAGACAGACAGACAGACAGACGGACAGACGGACAGACGGACAGACGGACATGGCTAGATCGACTCGGCTAGTGACCCTGATCAAGAATATATATACTTTATGGGGTCGGAAACGCTTCCTTCTAGCTGTTACATACTTTTGCACGAATCTAGTATACCCTTTTACTCTACGAGTAACGGGTATAAACATGATTAGAAAGTGTAAAATAAAATATCTTAAAAGCTTTAAACATTTAAAAACAAACATATTTCGATAAGAATATTATTTCCGGGTGCTGGATTAGAAGGCGTTCAGCACTGTTCAGTTTCGGCTTTCCAAACCATTGAAGTGATAAGCATACTTATGGTAAATATACCAAATGTTTGATTAACTACAGTGAGTACTGTATATGTTTGAAATCGTTCAAACAACTATACCTTAGATGTAAATATTAAAATATATAAAATATTAAAATAAATTCCTGCCCTTCCATTAGACAGCGATTAATTAATAAGCGGTTGCATATGGCGAGTATCGTCTGTAAAATCCAAACAAAATATACATTCTCGATCAAAACCGGCCCACAGCTGGGAGTCTGGGCAACACACCCCAGCATGCGACGGAAAAAAGTACGCTTATCACGGGTCAGTTCCGCAGCTCTAAGCGCTCGGCCTTCCTAGTGGCGATAAGCCGGGCTCAAATTCGGCCGGCTGCGACGCAAAACGAGGTGTCGTTATGAGTAGTTTGGCAGACGTTCAATCAGTACTCAAGTCAACGTTCTCTAGCTCAGAGTCCCGCAGCAGTTACAAAAACCAACCTAAAATGGCAAAGTTTGCAGTGATCTTCGTTCTGTTCGCCCTGTGCGCCGTAAGTTGAAGTCTCAAATTCGGAAACGGACCCTTAGGATCCGATGTTTGGAAAGGTATTAATACGGGTCTTTCCTTTCAGGTGGCCATGTCTGCACGCATCGCACGTGAGGAGCCAGCTAAGCCTGATCTATTTGACTTCCTTAAACAAGAAGGCGATAAAATCGCAGCGCTTTTCAAGGAAAACACTACTCCGGAAAAACTTCAAGTAAGCCAAAACAATTGATATGTTCGTTTGTGAAACTGTTGCAGAAGCTATTATAATGCTGGTCCGATTTTTTAACGTTCGCTCTAGCTCGACGAGTTGATATAGACATGTTTGTCAGCCTAATCTGTCTGTTTAACATATATTTAGTTTTAACCACTTTTGTTGGGCAATATACGAAGCTAACACTACATTAAGCTATTTTTTGAGAGATGAGCTTATCAAACTCACTAAGCCAAACAAATTTTATATTTTACTAAAAATATTTTCTAATTGCCTATTTTCTTTTTATGCAGGAAATCAAGAATAAGGTTGAAAGCTTTACTGCTGATGCTTCCAAGAAATTCCAAGATGGTTCTGCCGACACTCTTGAAGCCATTCAAAAGGCCGCAGCTAAGCTCAACGATGAGTTCCAGAAAATTAAACCTGCGCCTTCTGCCTAAGAATTTATTCAGTACACCAAAAAGTCTCTAATAAATGATTAAACTATAAAACAAGCTGTAGTTTTTAAACGAAAAGTAATGATTCATCAGTATTGACTAAGTATGGAATGTCGATTACCTCAGGAGAAACTACGGTGTAAATGAAAGAGTAACTGGAACATTTATTTGTATGTGATTTGTATTGACAAAACAGTATTTCTGTTATTAATTAACTATGTTTAAAGATAATGCGACAATAAGCAATTGGGGTGCTTCGGATTCCGTGCAAACAACATACATGGCATCTGTGAAATATTTGTCAGTTATTTTGCACACCTGTCTGAGCAGCAAGCCCTTCCCTTGGAGTCATGGCTTCCGAACGTGAATAATGTATTGGCATTTGTACAGTGAACTCCTCCGCCGCGCACGATTGCATAATATCAAAGTGGATTTTCCCTCTTTCCAGGGGTCCCTGTCTCCATCGGCTATTGGCCCAAACATACGGGTTGCACAAACGGAAGTTGGCAAAAGCGGATAATGCCAAATTGTTGCTTAGACACATTTTATGTACTCGTGTGTATCTGGGCGTCCATCAATTGGCATCTCTTGTGCAATTTCCATGCCATTGTTGTGTGAAATTTATAAATGTTTTCATTCCTTTTTTGAGAGCTTTTCTTATTCAAACGCGTCGGGGCTTACTCATCCATTCGATCTTTGATGTTTTCGAGTGGGGAGAAGGGTATGGTTGAATCAAAATTTGTCACACGAATGGGCAAATAAATTTGCTTGTTTATAAAAGAAATAAGCGGCAATTCCAATTTAAAATTCAGCAAGATGTTTTGTTCAAATATTAAATCATTTAATATTGCTAGAAAAAAGGCTTGTAGAAATCCTTAAAAATATTTGTAAGCAAGCTTTAATATTTATCTTCACTATTTAAAGTGAAGATTAAATTCAATTCAGATCTTAAATTACATTACTGTCTTCTATTATTACATTATTGTCTTCTATTTTTCTTGGAGTTTTTTTTTTTAGTTTGTTAATCGCTCTCAAAGCGTTTCGAATTTAATTAAAAATTTATTAAATGCTGCAGAGAATCACCAAAGAGCTTCGGATGGAAGGGAATAAAATGGAATGGAAGGGGTAGTCATAGGAGTGCAACCTAGTTGGAAAACTGCGCTCCTCTGCGTTGCACCAAACAATTCCCAAAGCAACAATATGGTTGCCATGTCACGCCGTGTGTGCGCCAGTGTGAGTGCATTGTAATGCTAATTTAAATAACGATAAGCTCAACAACAGCACCAGCTACAACTACAACTACAACTACAACTACAGCTACTACAACTGCAAGTGCAACTACAACAACATTGATGATGATGGCAGCGACAACAATGGCAACAATAATAGGAAAACAATTTGGCATTCTGTGATTTTGTCATCCTTTCACGATTGTTGTTGTTAGTTTTTGATGCTCTTCCATTTAGGGGAAAAGTCTACCTAGTATAAAATTAGTTTTGGTAATAAATGTGGAATTAAATAGCGCTATTGATAAATATAAAATAATTTGTATAAAAAGAACAAAGTTTTATTTAATTAAGCTTAGTTTTATTTTTTTAAAAAAAGAAATTTTATTATTTAGTAATTAACTTACTGTTTAGTTTTAATCAGACTTAAATTTTCAAAAAAAAATTGGATTCTCCAAAATCTAAGACCAATATTTATCACTAAAAATATTTTACTTAAGTTTGAGAAGATATATTTTTTAAAGATATTTCGAGACTTAGTCCAACCACTTTTTTATAAAGAGTATGTAGCCTTCTTCCAGAAAATAAATTCCCTCGTATTTGCTTTTGTTGCGGGCTGTGCAGCATCTGCAGTAAGCCAGACATCACATATATACACACACATCTGGCAATATTAGCGAGCAAGCGGGAAAAACAAATAATAAAGCCACTTGCGCATAAAGAAGCAAAAACAACGGCAAAAGAAAAAACTTTCCCGGGCTGCTGGACGAGGGAGGGGGGCAAAATGCGGAGGGGTGGCATTATCCTTTCTATCACTTGTCACATTTTCGCATAATGGCGTCATTGCTGCCGCTGCCTGTTGCGAACAATGAATACATTTGTAATGTTAATGGAATGCAACGGGAACTGCGAGGAAACTGAAACGAGAACAACGCCAACCATTTTCCGTCGCCTATTCGAGCTGTTGTCGCCCATATTTGTTTGTGTTTATCAGCAGCTAGTGGCATTGCCTCACCAAAAGATGGGGGAGGTGCTTTTCCAGCCACGCCCACACGCACTCCTACAAGGGTTTTGCTTCGGCAGAAAAATGTTTTTTATTCAGTATTCAGAGTTGAAGGAAATGTTAGAGAAGAAACACAAACTGTACGTTTTATTTACAGTCTCTTGAGCATATTTAGCATACTAAATATAAACGATTTTTTTGTAAACTATAAAATAAAATATAAAACATTCCGATAGTCGGAAAAATAGATTTTAAAAACAAGAGAGAACGCTATAGTCGGGTGCCCCGACTATCAGATACCCGTTACTCAGCTAAAGGGAGTGCGAAAGAGATGGAGAAAAACTTTGATCCTTCGTAACTTTTTAACGAATGGTCCGATTTAAAAAATTTCTTCTACATTTCGATAGGTATTGATAAACACAATAAAACTGCATTTTTACTTTTCCAAAATATTGAAATTTTTAAAATCGTATATATGCGATTGTGGGCGTTAGAGGGGGCGTGGCACCCTTTTGAAACAAACTTGCGCTGCGTAGGAACTCCTAGAATCTGCATGCAAAATGTCGATCTTCTAGCTTTTATAGTTTCCGAGATCTCAGCGTTCATACAGACAGACAGACAGACAGACAGACAGACAGACAGACGGACAGACAGACGGACAGACGGACATGGCTAGATCGACTCGGCTAGTGATCCCGATCAAGAATATATATAGTTTATAGGGTCGGAAACGCTTCCTTCTACCTGTTACATACTTTTGCACGAATCTAATATACCCTTTTACTCTACGAGTAACGGGTATAATAAATAAAATACATTATTTAATTTGAACAAAACATATAATGGCAAAAAATGTAAAAGTTAGATTAGTTAGATTTATTAAATAGAAAATATTGAAAAAAATTAAAATATATACGTAGAAATATATATGTAAGTACTAAATTTACCTACAATATAATATCAATCTCAAGTTATGTACATAATTCGTTTCAGATCGTAGTTGTTGGTATACAAGTTTTCTAATAGAACCTTCTACATATAAAAATAGTTTTTCTTTGCCTTATCCTCACGCTGACAGCACTATGCCCTTATTCAATATGCCTAGTGCAGTGCATCGAGGCATAAAATAACGTAAAATTTTTATTAGAAATATAAACAGCAGAAAGCAAATGCAAGTACGCACACAGAGAGGCGCACACTCTATGAGAGACGCACACAGATGCATTTATAGCTGAATAGACGCACAATGTGGCAGCCACAATAAAGAAATAAAAGGCTCAGCAGCAGCGGCAGCAACAAATGCAGCAGCGGCAACATAAGCCTCATCGTCGTCGTTGTCGTAGCGACATCAACAAAAAGCACAAAAGCATTTGCATTGCAAATGCAACATAATGCACAACAACAACATTGCAGCACACACATACAGGCACGCTGACAGACACATTTGCTTGCCACTTCCGAAGGATGTTGCTCCTTGCATGTTGCCCCGCAGCACTGGCAATAGCAACAGCAAAAGCAACAGCAACACAACAGCAGCAACATCATCGTGCCAGCAGCAACAACATCGAAGTATTTGCCATGACAAGTATTTAAGTTCCTCGGCTGCTCCTTCGCAGGACTTTATATGAATGCATACATAACTTTTTGCATGCATTTCAATGCATTCGAAATGCGAGCATAAAAATATGTACATTAAGGTGCGGCAGGTACATCTAATACACAGATACCAGCTGGATTACCATTATATTCCTTATTTAAATATCTTTGATATAAGTATAGAGTAGATAAATATTATTATCGAGCTTACGTTAAGGAGTCAAAAGAATCTCTGGAGATTTCGATGTTCAATTCTATTAGAATTTTTCGAAGCCACCTAGTTTTTAATTTCGGAAAGGTTGTCAATATTTTGTAATATTTTGTGTACAAATAAATTAAATAAATCTTTAATTATCTTAATAAAGAATAAATTAAATAGAAAGAACATAGTGAACATAAAAAAAATTAACTTAAATTAATTAAAATCCTTTAAGTCAATTAATTATTTTGATATAATTATTAATATTTGTAGACTGCATTTATGATAAGTTTTGGAGAAATTTTTATCTCTGTATGGACCTAAAGGTTCTCTAGGATTTTCCAAGAGCTCTCTCAGCCACTCAGCGCCAGCTTCGGGCCATTGATTGCCTTTTGCCAAGAACCAAGCCACAACCTTTTGTCTCATCAAGTGAGTTAGTTGAGTTGGAGTCGCGGCTCACGGAGTGGCCTTTTGCATATTCATGTATTCCGACAACGAAAATTGACGGCAACAGCTGCCTTAGCGCTAAGACTGCGGAATGCAGACGGCAGACAGTGGTGGCCAGGAAGTCCTCGATGACATCCTTGTGAGCACTCGACTGTGGCCGCGTTGATTTGCAGGCAGTGGCAGCTTCACAGCAATCCCGACGGTTCGTTTGCTCTGGCTGCCGTTTTGCATGAATATGCATGAGCAGTTGAGCAGTTACAAGCCATCAAAACATGCCACACACGCGCAGCAAAAAAACGCGGCAGGAACTACAGTAGATATCGCATTTTGGCCAAGCACATAATGTATTCGAAATGGTGGCGATATTTTCTTTTGAAAATCGCTGTACTGCTTGACCAGTCAGATTTTTTGTTGCCAAACGTTTTAAGAAAATTCGTTGTAGTTCAGTTGGTTTTCAGGTTTAATTCTTAAAACAAAAATTATGTTTAAAAAAAACAATACTTTGGGGAAAAAATATTAAAAAGAATGGGACTAAGCTACAAACAGGAAGAAAACAAATTATGATTGTTTAGAATAATAAAAT